CCTGTTGCCGGACTTGCCGGACTTGCCGGATTTGCCGGCCAGGGCTTCATGCCGCAGGCGGTGATCCCGGAAGCGCCGGACGATTTCACTGGCGGAGACGTGCCGACGGTTGACGCGATGGCCCACACCTGGGATCGCTGCTTCAACGACGCGAAGGCGGGCCATTGCTGCTGCTGCTGTTGTTGCTGCTGTTGGTGATGGTGTTGTTTTTGTTGTTGCTGCTGCTGCTGCTGCTGCTGCTGTTGTTGTTGTTGTTGTTGTTGTTGTTGTTGTTGTTGTTGTTGTTGCGGCCGCCCAGGTTCAAGAATGGGAAATTCTGACGAAGTCTGTTGGCTGGCGGACCAGCACTAAGTCCAAGAAGGGGCCCAAGCGAGCACGCCGGACCCGATTTGTGAGACGGACTTTGGCAAAGAAGAAGGCCTCCGCCTGACGGACTATGTCGGCATCATGATGCCTGACTGATGAGGCCAGCAGCAGCCAGGAGCCAGGGGCCCAGTCATTGCAAAGCGGGTTGAACTCACGTAGACTTAGCCTGGCTGTAGGCAATCCACCGCCTCCCGGGAAACAGCCGAAACAGCCGCAAAAGTAATTAAATCCACCGTTTCCCGTAACAGCCGCCAAGGTAACCCACCACAGCTCCAAGCAAACAGCTGCCAAGGGAACCCACCATTTCCCAGGAGACAGCCGGAGCCAGAGGTAATCCATCGTTTGTCGGGAAACAGCCTAGAGGTAACACCGTTTCCCGGGAAACAGCCGGAGCCAGATTTAATCCATCGTTTCCCGGGAAACAGCCTAGAGGTAATCCACCGTTTCCCGGGAAACAGCCGGAGCCAGAGGTAATCCATCGTTTCCCGGGAAACAGCCTAGAGGTAATCCACCGTTTTCCGGGAAACAGCCGGAGCCAGAGGCAGAGGTAATCCACCGTTTCCCGGGAAACAGCTGGGTGGCCGGCTCACAACACTTTCCATTGCAAGTAAAAGAGCAAATCTCAACAAGGGTTCTAAGAAAATCGAGAGTCGTGAAATGGGGGCATTTGCAAAAGCGCTGCGGAAGAAGAAGGCCCGACAAACCAAACTTCAACCGTCGGAAAAGCCAAGAAACCAGTCAAACCACCATTGCACACATAAAGCTGGCGCAGGAGTGGTTGACGATGAAGATCTGGAAGTCCATTTTCAAACTGGCCTGAAAGGGACTGGCCCTGCGTGCAGATATCGCCCAAGCATACAGGTTTCGAGGTGAAAATTGTGGCCCGACGGGTGTCTAACGTCACTTTTGGCTCGCAAAAAAGTTTACAACAGTAAAAATGCGAATCGGATATAGCAGGCTCGAGCCGAAAAGTGCGAAATTGTGGCCCGACAGGTGGCTAACGTCACTTTTGCATCCCAAATAGAAAAGAGCAACATCACCAGTCAGAGTAGATTCGAGCGGCTCCCGCCAAACACAGGCCGGTTTCGAGCTGAAAAGTGTCCAAATTGTAGCGCGACGGGTGTCGAACGCCACTTTTGGATCTAGATGAAATAGAATAGGAAAAGGTAACATGCCAATTTGCGTGGGAAATTCGGTTCCACACCAAAAAAAACTTAAGGGTGAGGCAGCTTGATGCGCCTGCTGAAAGGGGTTTGGGGTCATCTAAGCAGGAATGAGTCTTGGCCGCCAAGAGGAAAGGGCTTGAACTGGTTTTTTGGGAATATTAACTATGAAACCGCCTCTTCTGTACGAGCAAAATGCGTTGTTCTGGAGCCCAAATTCTGTTCGCATTTTGGCTAGATTGGGCTTGCAATTGCGAGTTTTCACAAAGAAAGCAGTGACCTGCAACAAATTCTGCATGGGCACATTTTTGGGGGTTTTGGCCACACACCGTCACACACTCTAGAATACAGAGCAGAACGTTTTTTTCTTAGTAGGCATTTCTCAGTGGCCGTGAGCCAACTCCGAACAAGCTCCGAACAAACTCCGAACGAACTCCGAACAAACTCCGAGCAAACTCCGGACAATCTCCGAACGAACTCCGGGCGAACTCGGAACAAACTCCGAACAAGCGAACAAGCTCCGAGCGAACTTTGGCATTTGTTGATTTCCGAACAAACCCCCGAGCCAACTCCGAACACACTTTGGTCAAACTGCTTTTTTTCGAGCTTACCAAAAGAGGTAAAGTGATTACAGGGGCCAGTTTCAACAAGTGGCCTGGGAAGGCGTTTTTGGAGGCAAACAAACATGTTCTCAGGCCACGTGTTGAAATTAGTTCTTTTGGTCACTTGATTTTCCTGTTATGCATTTTCCGGGCTGGATTTACTTCCCGGACAAGCGCCAAACAATTTTTGGCCATATTTTTCTTTGGGGGGCTGATTTTTGTGTTTTGGCCTTAAGTTTTAGTTTTTCGGCTTTGTTTTGTCTTTTTGCTCGTGTTTTTTTCCAGGCTGTGATTTGTGCTTGATATTTTTTTCGGGGCTTAATTCTTGCCCCGAACGAACTCCGAACGAACTCCGAACGAACTTTGGCCTTAAGTTTGTTTTTGGAGCTTATTTGTTTTTTGGTGTTGAACTTTTCGGGATTTGGTCTGGGGAGCTGTTTTATTTTGTTTTTGCCTTAAGTTTTTGTTTTTCAGCTTTGTTTTGTTTTTGTTTGCTTGTTTTTGCTTTCAGGCTATGATTTGTGCTTAGTTTTTTTTTGGGGGGGGCGGGGGGCATAATTCTTGCCCCGAACGAACTCCGAACGAACTCCGAACGAACTTTGGCCTTAAGTTTTTTTTTGGTGTTGAACTTTTCGGGTTTTGGTCGTACAAAAACACTGGAATTACAGCTTGTTCACGCGTTTTGTCTACAAATTCAGTGTTACCAAGGTAAAAAAAACCTTGAAAAATGCTTAATCCAGGTTGTTCAGGCAAAAAAACAGCTATTTCATACGACCAAAATCGGGCAAAACCTTAAGTTCAACACCGGTGTTGAACTTAAGCTTTTTGTTTTTGGAATAAGGTTTTTTTTCCGGATTAAGCCTTGGTCAAGCAGATTAAACTTTGTTTCAGCTTCAACAGCGAGCCTCAGCGCCAACAAGCTTTTTTTTTGGAATAAGGTTTTTTTTTCGGATTAAGCCTTGGTCAAGCAGATTAAACTTTGTTTCAGCTTCAACAGCGAGCCTCAGCGCCAACCAAGCTGCGAGATCACCCCGGTAGCGATTTTAGCCCTCCGCAGCTCTCAAGTCCTACAAATCCAGCCCTGAACGCCTTCCCAGGCCACTTGTTGAAACTGGCCCCTGTAATCACTTGGCAACTTTTGGTAATCCCGAAAAAAGCCAAAAAACAGTTTAAACCACCAAAATACTTTTGCTCAAACACGTACTTATGGCCAAAGTGTGTTCGGAGTTGGCTCGGGGGTTTGTTCGGAAATCAACCAATGACAAAGTTCGCTCGGAGCTTGTTCGCTTGTTCGGAGTTTGTTCCGAGCTCGCCCGGAGTTCGTTCGGAGTTCGTTCGGAGTTTGTCCGGAGTTTGCTCGGAGTTTGTTCGGAGTTCGTTCGGAGTTCGTTCGGAGTTCGGAGTTCGTTCGGAGTTTGTTCGGAGTTGGTTCGCGGGGAACCTGGGGCCTCTGAGAAACGCCTACCAAGAAAAACAGTTCTGCTCCGTTTTATGTAGTGTGTGGCCAAAACCCAAACAATGTGTCCATGCAGGATTTGTTGCAGGTCACTGCTTTCTTTGTGAACACTTGCAATTGCAAGCCCAATCTAGCCAAAATGCGAGCAGAATTTGGGCTCAAGAACAACGCATTTTGCTCGTACAGAAGAGGCGGTTTCATAGTTAAGTTATTCCCCAAAAGCAGTTCAAGCCCTTTCCTCTTGGCGGCCAAGACTCATTTCTGTTTAGATGACCCCAAACCCCTTTCAGCAGGCGCGTCAAGCTGTCTTACCCCTAAGGCTTAGCGCGCAGAAACGGCGGGGTCCGCTGGGAAACAAGCAAATTGATTCTTGTTTCGAGGAAACTGGCATCAATAGTACACTTTGAGGTTTGCTGCAAAATCCCTGTTTTTGTTTTTTTGGTTTTGTCAAACCCTTAAGTTTGAGTAAAAAACCATTATTCGTTTTTAGGACCTTAAAACACATAAATCCCGAACGAACTGACCTGACCCATGAAATTTGGCAAGGTAACAAAGGAATTGGATATAGCAGCAACATGACCGGCATCACCCGCAAGGCCTCGAAAACAGGTGCGCCTCAAGAGCATCACCAGCAAAGGAGGAGGGGGGGACCAAGGATTCGAGCCGAGGAAGGGTGGAAAACAGGCTCCGAATTCTTATGGTTTTTTTGAAAAGAGAGTAAAACAGGAATCGGATTTTTGCAGCAACATCACCGGCGTCGCCAGCAAAACCGCTACGCCGCGCAGCCTCCGCCTGGTTGAGGGGGAATGGGGTTGAAAAGTGCTGTTTGTATATATACACACACACCTCTCTCTCTCTCTCTCTCTCTCTCTCTCTCTCTCTCTCTCTCTCTCTCTCTCTCTAAAGGGCTTTGCTTTCAGAGGGGGCAGCTGTTTTTTCACAATCCACAGATAAATCAGCTAAGCCATTGAACCCAGACCCTTAAAAAGACCTCAACAAGGGGCCATCAGCGTTGGTGACCTGGGCCCATGCAACAAATAGTATCCCCATTGACATGCTACTCACAGCCATGCTTTCACCGATGTTGGATGATGTCAAACGGATGCCTATATTTTCCATTTGAGTTGTCACGGGAAGCTCTTGTAATTGTGCTGGTTGTACTTCCTTTGTGCCTTCCAGGGATCTGTTTTGTTTCAGAGACGTTCAAAAACGCAGGCAGTTGCGGTGTTCCTTAATAGCACGAGGAGCGAAAATCATGCGACATCAACTAGTTTGACAACGCCTATATTATTTGTGTTTTCCAACCCTCATGTTCCAAATCATGGGCGGCCACAGCCGGACAATTGTTGGTTGTTTCCGGCGCACGAGTCTGCCATCGATGATCATCAATTCTGCGTTATTTGTTCTGGCGAGGTCTTGGCCACCGCAGTGGGCGGCTGGGATCCAGATTTCCTGGCTGAGGAGCGCGCGTAGTTTGATGAAGCCCAGGCCATGGGTGTCCATCTGTCTTCCCTGCGGGTCGTACGACTGGAGGCCCCTTTGAGTCATGATCCCTTTCGCCACGCGATGTGCGGCAAGGATTGGCACATGTTCGCCAAGTGCGCGGTGAAAAGTGAAGGGCGCTTGAGGCCAGGTCCGGCCCTTTTGCGCCGTGTCGCTGTTCAAAGCACTCCAAAGGACCTGTGTCCCGTTGTGATTGCCCATGCCCTGTGTGTGTTTGCGAGTCAACATGTCAGTTTGAGTCAGCCTTCAGAAGCGATGGTTTCATGCTTATGTGGCTTTGGTTGCGAGCGTTACTTCAGGCGTGTTGTTTACTTGTGACATTGCGCTCACAGTTTGCCTATGTGTTATGTGGTGTTCATATCCCAATAAGAGCAATCGCTGGATAGAAACTAGGGAGTTGGGTGGCGTGTTTTGGGCTTGTTCCCACAAGCGCTGCAGAAGAGTGACCGAGATTCACCACCCCGCGGCACCCCGTTGGGCCACTCTGGTTCTGTGCGTCTTCCTTGAAATGAGTTAAAAAAAAAGAACCGCGCGTGGAGATGCTTTTGGTCAAAGGGTTGGGTTAGAGAAGACGCACCCTTAGAGAACTGCAAAGGATCGTGCCCCAAACTGCGTGCAAGCGGGTTCTGGCTGAGGTGTGTGCCCATCTTTTTGCCGGTCCTGAACTATACTCCGGAGGAAGATACGCCAGACTCCCAGATCAATTCCATGCCCTGAGCTTTGACAACTTGATTCTCCAACATCCTGAAAATATGAGGGTAATGCAATAATGTACCAAAACTTCGCGGTCATGATCTTGTGTCAGGGTAACGTGGCTGGGAGTTTTACTCAACCCCTTCTGGAACGGGCCGCCTTGGCCCCAAAAGTTGCATGCCCATACGCGGAAATCGTCGGCCTCATGGGCCCTATGGGCTCTAGAACTCCTAGCGCGGCCCGAAAACACACTTCGCTAAGAAGTGCTGGGTACTTTTTGTTGAAACTGGCACTGCGCCACGTGCTGATTGATGCAGACCAAGTAGGTGTTGTGGACCGCGCCAAATCGCGGCCTCGTCCGGCATCTCCATCACGGCGACAAATTTGCAACGAGCGAGGGCAAAGAAAGGGAGCGCAGTCAGAAGCAGCAAGCTGCCCCGGACGCGCATCGCCTTCTTTCGCCAGGTCTGATCAAGCAAGTGCGCAGGCCGTGGTCCAAAGGGGGCGACAACGAGTGCAACGACTATGCCCGCGCCAATTTGCTTGATCAGGGTCAAGAAGACTACCTTCCGTGCCACCAGCCACATCGACAGTGATGACCCAAACAGGAAGGCCTCCTCGGCAGCGTTTGTCTCTGGTTAAGATGGGCGAAACGAATCAATCGAAAACCTGCTGCGCAGCACTGGGTCAGAGAGACCCGGCGACGGGTCAGCTGCCAAGCTGGGTAACTGCACTGAGCTTCGGCGTGTTTGAGGTGGCAGCAAGCCGTTGTCCCTGGTCAGCAAACGAGGCCTCACTTGCCTCCACGGAAGCCTGTGAGGTCTATCTTTGCAGCCCTGATGCTCTGCCCTTTCTGCATGAGCTTCAGCCTGTGTCAGACCACACAGCCTGCTTGATGTGCTGTAAACAAGAAGACTCGTCTGACGCAAGCGACTCCTGTCGTGAAAGCCTCTCAGGCAAGAAGCGCATCATCATATACCTGCGGATCTCAGTGACATGCCCGTGAGCGCAATAATAATGCAATCCAGGCTGTCATGGCGATAGCTGCGCTCTGCATGCCGCATTGCCTCACTTAATCCTGTTGAAATTGCGCGTCCGATGCTCGCAGATCGTCTTGCAGGGTGAGGTGCCAACTGCTCCGTGAAGCAGATGCTTTGACAAGAGAGGTCCGCTTCTGCTAACCCTGCTGCGCAAGGGCAATTCATTGCCCAAGGTTGCAGCTAGGCTCAGACATACGCAGGCATATGCTGAAATTCACAAGCCAGGCAAGGAAGTTGTTCGAACCAGCTACTGGTCAGGATCTTGTGGGACAGAGCCTGCGAAAGTATCTCAAACGGGCTTGTCATAAAGGCGCAGCAGGCTCAGATGAATCGCCTTGCAAACCGTGGTATCTTTGGATCCTCACAGAGTAAAACGCATTTGACAGATCCAATCGCAACCGGCTTTTTCTTAGCTGTGGCAATTGCCTCCATGCTGCAAAGTCAACGCCACAACGAGGAAGACCACCCTGCTACAGCGGTGACAAATGCCTCAACGCATATGGCAGGATCTTCTGTCGCACGATGCTTCTGTAATTCTCAACATTTGCTCAGGAACCTCGGCCCTTCTAAAGCGGAGGCACCTTCCCTCGTTTTGTATAAAACGGATAGGCCAATCAGATCCAAAACTGGAGAGGCAAAGGCCATAAGCGTCTTGCAAGCTTTGCAGGAATGCACTTGGCAACTTCGGGCGGAAGGCTGCTGAGAGCGTACGCCTGGCTTCCATCCTCAACAAAAATGGTCCGCTTCATCCTTGAGCAAGGCCCAGTTGGCTGCCTTCCGTGCTGCTTCTGACTGCCTTCTTGACTGCCTTCTGGAATCTACTAAGCAGCCAACATCCACCTCCTGCTGGGCTACAAAACTGAAGACGGCTAGACCAGCGCTAGTAGCAGGGCGACTGGGCAAGCCAACGAACCTGCAGGTCTCCTTTTTGCGTCGTAGGACACATGCCAGGAAGAAGCTGGTTAAATCTTGCAAATAGAAACAAATTTGCCTTCCCTGAAAAGACGCATAGACAAGGCTAGGAAAAATAAGCTGCCACGTCCACATTGCCTTGTTCGCCTTGTTAGGCTAGCAGTGCGCGGTTTGCCGAGGTGATTTCCCATGTTGCTGGTTTTGCACATCAAGCCTTGTAAGGTGAGGTTTTGAAGTCGGAATCAGAGAGAACCCTGCTTTGAATGCGCCGAGTCCTTCCGCTATCATCAGAGGTCTGTTGAACCCTTCCCGCGGGTCCCCCCAAAATGCAGGGAAGATATTGCAAGGGATGAGATTGGGTTTGGGTTGGGCCAGTCCCCAGCTCATGCTTGAATTTTGCCGTTCGTACCATGACGGGTACGTTGGAATGGCCAGGTACTGGCAAACACTGTGCAGCCGCTGGACACAAGCCAAGCGTCACGCGCTAGGCGTCTCGGAGGTGGTCTACGCGCCGCTCTCAGCAGACCCTTCCTTGAGGGTCCAAAGCTTGCGGCTTTCCCGATGCTTTCTTGAGGTTCTCTCAGCTTCCTTCCTGGCCTTCCTAGAGCTGCCTTCATGGAGGTTGGTTTTGGGTGGGCGGAAGTTGACAAGGGTGGCAAGGGGTAGCAAGGGGGGGTGCGAGGGTGAGAAAGATGGTAAAGTGAGGCGGCAGAATTAGAAGGGTGCGGGTGTAGAAATGGAAAGAGGAGTAATCAGGTAGAACAAGTGGCGCGCACGCGCGCAAGAGAAATCTGGCGTATCGACGGTTTGATACTGTTTTTTGCTCGGCTGGGTTGCTAAGTACTTGCCCCGCTTGGCGGCCGTAGAGGCGTCTGCCAGCCTGAGTTCTCACCAGGTCTAACCTGATCTATTGCCTCACTAAGCCCGCCTGGCCATCCGGCAGACTCAGCCAAGTGTTTGTCGTCGCGCCGGGCGCTTGGCCAACTCTGCCAACTGGCCAGGCGGACATAGCAAGGCTATAACTCAGGTTCGACCTGCTTATAACCCAGGCAGCCTGAAAATGTAAGTTGTTCCATTCAGTTCGGCAACTCAATGTTTTTGTGCCTAGCCATTTGCTACATCCTCCGCGCTTCAACTACGAGGAGTTCGGCGAAGGTTCGGCGGGGGAGGGTGGTGATCCCGCGAAGGGCGTGCCCCGCAGCCGTGACAGGCGCTCTGAAGATGGTGCAGACCTGTGGATGTCCTGTTTCAAACAGTCAGGGCGCGGAAGATGCAAGTAGCTGTGCCACGCGGGGAGACGGGGACGAGGGCCGCTGTCCCGCACATGGAGGCTGCGACGGGGGAGCGGGTTTGCTAGGTTCAGAGATGAGGCCCGGTCGTCAGGTGAAGCGAGTCGTCCAAGTCAGGATGCAACGAGCGCCGGCAGACCAAAAAAAGGAACAGAAACAGATCGACATGTGGATAGTCAAGGGTTTCCGTATATTTAAGGGCTGCCGCCCAGTGCCGCCGATCCCTGGATTTATTTGTGGTTTTCGAGCAACCAAAAACAGTGCCCTTGGTTTTGGTTTCTTTGGTTTCTTGCGAATGATGCGTAGTGATGATTATCATCAAGGCAGGACTCCAAATCTCAATGACCCAAATGGCATCTGAGGCCCGTTTCGACAGTGATGCGTAGTCATGATTATGATCATCGCTGCTGGAGATGCTGGGGATGCGTAGTGATGATTATCCTCATGATTGCCACAGATGCTGCGAATGATGCGTAGTGATGATTATCATCAAGGCAGGACTCCAAATCTCAATGACACAAATGGCATCTGAGGCGAGGTGCCGTTTCGATAGTGATGCGTAGTCATGATCATCGCTAGGCACCCTTGGTAATGCAGAGGATGCTACGATGATAGTGATCATGACAGTCATCCGCAGCTTTGGTAATGCAGAGGATGCTACGATGATAGTTATCATAAGAGTCATCATCCTTATCATCTTCATCATGATTGTCATCATAGTCATCGCCTTCATCATCGTCATCATGATTGTCATGATCATCTCTTTCTTCTATACATTTCAATTGTGGCCTGGGCGATGCTGGTGATGCCAGACACGTTTTCTTGCCACACGATGCCCTTCTATCTCGTCAAGAAAAAGCAGCTCTCAGCCCCGCTCTCTACCCCCCCATCAGCCGCAGCATCCTGTGCATTACCAGTAGACACACCCGGGCGATGCTGGTGATGCCAGACACGTTTTCTTGCCACACGATGCCCTTCTATCTCGTCAAGAAAAAGCAGCTCTCAGCCCCGCTCTCCACCCCCCCAGGAGCCGCAGCATCCTCTGCATTTCCAATAGACACGCCCGGGCGATGCTGGTGATGCCAGCACACGATGCCCTTCTATTTTGTCAAGAAAAAGCAGCTCTCAGCCCCGCTCTCCACTCCCCCATGAGCCGCAGTCGCGCCTGGCGTCAGTACGCAAGCAAGCATAGGCTAGGGAGCATCAGCCGCAGCATCCTGTGCATTACCAATAGACACGTCATCATCATTATCATCTCTTTCTTGTTCTTATATGCATTTCAAAAGTAACGTTAGACACCATTGGCAATGCAGAGGATGCTACGATGATAGTTATCATCACAGTCCTCCAAACACTAACGAAAGATGATGACTATCATCGTAGCATCCTTAGCATCACCAACGGCTGTGATGATAACGATCATCACAGCATCCTCTGCATCACCAATGCTGCCTGATAAGAGATGACGACGACCATGATGAGAATGGTGGCGTGATGATCGTTATCATCCGCGTCATGACAACTATCATCACAACATCCTCTGCATCACTACTTGTTCCTTGATAACTATCATCGTTGCATCTTTGGCATTGCCAAGGATGTCTAACGTCCCTTTTGATTTCGATATATAGTAAGATATGAGAAGACATGAGGTGATGCTAGGTGATGATCAGATGATGAGAAAGATGACGACGAGGATGATAACTATCGACTATCATCGTAGCATCCTTAGCATCACTAACGGCTGTGATGATAACGATCATCGCCGCATCCTCTGCATCACCAATGCTGCCTGATAAGAGATGACGACGACCGAGAATGAGGCGTGATGATCGTTATCATCCGCGTCATGACAACTATCATCACAGCATCCTCTGCATCACTACTTGTTCCTTGATAACTATCATCATCGCATCTTGGGCATTGCCAAGGATGTCTAACGTCCATTTTGATTTCTATATATAGTAAGATATGATAAGACACGAGATGATGCTAGGTGATGATCAGATGATGATAAAGATGATGACAAGGATGATAACTGTCATCGTAGCATCCTTAGCATCACTAACGGCTGTGATGATAACGATCATCGCCGCATCCTCTGCATCACCAATGCTGCCTGATAAGAGATGACGACGACCATGATGAGAACGAGGCGTGATGATCGTTATTAACCGCGTCATGACAACTATCATCACAGCATCCTCTGCATCACTACTTGTTCCTTGATAACTATCATCATCGCACTACGATGATAGTTGTCATCATCTTTATCATCATCTGATCATCACCTGGCATCATCTAATATCTTATCATATATAGAAATCAAAAGGGACGTTAGACATCCTTGGCAATGCAAAGGATGCGATGATGATGGTTATCAAGGAACAAGTCGTGATGCAGAGGATGCTGTGATGATAGTTGTCATGATGCGGATGATAACGATCATCACGCCTCATTCTCATCATGGTCGTCGTCATCTCTTATCAGGCAGCATTGGTGATGCAGAGGATGCGGCGATGATCGTTATCATCACAGCCGTTAGTGATGCTAAGGATGCTACGATGATAGTCGATAGTTATCATCCTCGTCGTCATCTTTCTCATCATCTGATCATCACCTAGCATCATCTTATGTCTTCTCATATCTTACTATATATCGAAATCAAAAGGGACGTTAGACATCCTTGGCAATGCCCATCCTTAGCATCACTAACGGCTGCGATGACAACTATCATCGCAGCATCCTCTGCATCACCAATGCTGCCTGATAAGAGATGACGACGTCCATGATGATAATGGGGGCGTACTGATCGTTATCATCCGCGTCATGACAACGATCATCACAACATCCTCTGCATCACTACTTGTTCCTTAATAACTATCATCATCGCATCTTTGGCATTGTCAAGGATGTCTAACGTCCCTTTTGATTTCTATATATAGTATAGGTGACAGATGATGAGAAAGATGATGACGAGGATGACAACTATGATTGTAGCATCCTGGGCATCACCAACGGCTGTCATGATAACGATCATCGCAGCATCCTCTGTATCATTAATGCTGCCTGATAAGAGATGACGACGACCATGATGATAATGGCACGGGCCTGATGATCGTTGTCTCAAATCGGGTCTAACGGGACACTTGAAACGTATATAAAAAAAAGAGAAGGACGATGACGAAGAAGATGATGATGATGAGCACCGTGATGATGATGCTGATTATGATGATGATGAACTGACATGACAATCATCATGACGCATCCTCAGCATCACCAGCAGTCATCATGATAATCATGTCCATCTTCTGCATCTCAAATTTGGTCACACTTATGCTGATGATGATGATGAGGATGATGAATTGACATGATAATCATCATGACGCATCCTCAGCATCACCAGCAGTCATCATGATAATCATGTCCACGCATCTGCTGCATGTCAA